ACCCCCCCCCCCCAATCTCTCCTTATTATCACACTTTCTGACAAATGCTGCCAACTGAGTCGTATAATTCAATCAATAATTAATAATGCATTTATTTACCAAGTTCTCAATGTGAGCACTTAACAAAATGATGTATACCTTATTACAAGAAAGCAATGTATGGCTAACAAACAATGATCTGGATAGTAACTTATGAGTGGATAGGTAAGACATAAATAACCAACCCTCTTACATATTTACACCTTGCAACTTGCATTTATTCCCATGACGTACTGTGGCCTGTGTCGTAATATATGTTGCCCATCAGGCGTACATCTTGTGCAACATTTAAACTCCTGTCATAGATTTCCAGTCAGCTTATTGACATATGAATTACATTTGAAAGCAGGGTTATAGACAGTACAGTCATTCGTCACGCGCAAGGAAATGAGTGACCGCTACATACACTGTTTCCTATCACTTCAGAATGTTGAACTTGTGACGATTCACTCTCATAATGATCTTATCCTTGTTGTCGATGTTGTGCGCACGGGTACCATGCGAGCGGTTGTTGGCTTAGAAGCACTTGCGGTGGACAATGCCAGGGCCGGACTCGTCGTACTCCTGCTTGGAGATCCACATCTGCTGGAAGGTGGACAGGGAGGCCAAGATGGACCCACCGATCCAGACGGAGTACTTCCTCTCAGGGGGAGCGATGATTTTGATCTTAATTGTTGATGGGGCAAGGGCAGTGATTTCCTTCTGCATCCTGTCAGCAATACCAGGGTACATAGTGGTGCCACCAGACAGGACAGTGTTGGCGTACAGGTCCTTACGGATATCCACGTCGCACTTCATGATGGAGTTGTAGACAGTCTCATGGATACCGCAGGATTCCATACCCAGGAAGGAAGGCTGGAAGAGAGCCTCGGGGCAGCGGAAACGTTCGTTGCCAATGGTGATGACCTGGCCATCAGGCAACTCGTATGACTTCTCCAGAGATGTGGAAGCAGCGGCAGTTGCCATTTCCTGCTCGAAGTCCAGGGCGACATAACACAGCTTCTCCTTGATATCACGGACGATTTCCCGCTCAGCGGTGGTCGTGAAGCTGTAGCCACGCTCAGTAAGGATCTTCATCAGGTAGTCAGTCAAATCTCGGCCAGCCAAGTCCAGACGCAGGATAGCATGAGGCAAAGCGTAGCCTTCATAGATTGGGACGGTGTGGGAGACACCATCACCGGAGTCCAGCACGATACCAGTGGTACGACCGGAAGCGTACAGGGACAGCACGGCCTGGATTGCGACGTACATAGCGGGTGTGTTGAAGGTCTCAAACATGATCTGAGTCATCTTCTCCCTGTTGGCCTTGGGGTTGAGAGGAGCCTCGGTGAGCAGAATGGGGTGTTCCTCAGGGGCCACTCGCAGCTCATTGTAGAATGTGTGATGCCAGATCTTCTCCATGTCGTCCCAGTTGGTGATGATTCCATGTTCGATGGGGTACTTCAAGGTGAGGATACCTCTCTTGGACTGGGCCTCATCACCTACATAGCTGTCCTTCTGACCCATACCCACCATGACGCCCTGGTGGCGGGGTCGGCCCACAATGGATGGGAACACGGCGCGGGGAGCGTCGTCGCCGGCGAAACCGGCCTTGCACATGCCGGAGCCATTGTCCACAACCAGCGCAGCTACGTCGTCGTCACACATGTTGGTTAACCTTCTCTGTCGTTCACTTAGCTCCGGCCGGCGTACTCTCTGCCCAGTGTCTTAGCAACGACTGAGCCACGCAAGTAGCACCCGCTATCTATATTCTCGGCTGTGGCCCGCTGCTCTAAGGGGAGCCAAAAATATCGGCCGCCTTACAAGGGAATCAGCGGCGCGCTTCGGGACGCTTTCGTCCGTCGCGGTCCACGCACTGCCGTATGCGCAGGAGCTACCGTTAGCCATATAGGGATGTTGCTGTCAGCGGAAACACGAAAAAAACATTTGAAGTCAAGCCATGGCAAGGATGCCAGTTTTAACTCTACCGCGTTGCCGCCTACCATCATGGGGACGTCGCCTTAACCTGCACACTTCATTGTTTCACGCTTGTGGTTGTTATTGTTCGTCGAGAGTCCGACAGTAGTTCTAGAGTTTTGGTTATTTCTTGGTGAAGTAGTTCAAGTTAATTGTCAGGGGACACACAGCAGCGTAAAGTATTCGTGGTATCAACTGCTTAATCCTGAATTTGTTTTCATTGCGCTGATTCGTATCATGCAACAGACGTAAAAACGACAATTTTAATCACTTGAGTAGTTTTCTTGTTATAATATTCTTCCGGTTTTAAGCCCAATTTTCCCCTTGTCGACTGTTACATGGAATTGAAGTAATGACTGTTGGCATACTATCTCAAGTGAAGCTGAGGGCAGATCAGCTTATGTTATTGCTGCAATTGCATACTGTGAGGCATGCAGTGTAAGTCGGAAACAGTCAGTGATGCTCATACAAATATTTAGAGTGTCATTTCATTAAAAATGCTAAGAATTTCTGTTACAGTGCAGTGTGAATTGGGTTCAGTCAACTTCTTGTCGTTAAAATATTAGTATCGACGTAATAAACAAACGGGTTCTCCTAATTTTCTGAGTGCACCACGGATAATCTGAATTAACGAATTTCTAAAACGCGTTAATTCCGTTTGTTGTGTTACACGCTATGCATTTCCTGTAGTTTAGTTTTAATTGCATACGCATATTTTTCGTAGCATTTTAAAATAAAAGTATCGAACTTATTTTTTTTTAAAAATATCGCAGCATTCCATTCAGAAAATATTTACGGAATAAATTTGTTTTATTTCGATTTGAATATATCACAACATAAAATTCGAGCAGATAACTGCTATAAGTACATACTTATCTGTGATAATTAAGAATACACTAGTTTAAAGTGGTTCTATTTTGAATTTAATTCTTAATGCATATAAATTCCTTATCAGTGTGTATCGCATATGTTACAAATAATATGTTCGTGAAGTGTATTTGAATTCAAAGATTTCCGTTATTATGAATACAAATGTAACACCCATCTTTATTAGAAAAATTTCTACTTCGTCTTCCTGCTTCGTACAAAACAATGGCATTAACTTCTGCAAAAATATACCTGATATTATACATTTTACGTTAAACTGTATTCATTATGTGCTTACAGACATTATTTTAGGAGGCATTGCTGCGGATGATATATTTTTATATATTTGTTATTTAAAGATGTTATTTGAGTCGAGAATATATCGTGTTTGTGTTGAATGATTAATGTATATGAAGCAATAAGTGGATTGAAAATTAACAGATAAACCGAAGTAATCAGAATAACCTATCCCAGAAATGTATCCACCAGAGATCCCATATGATCTCAATTGCGATTGAACCCGGTCCGCCGCGGTAGGAAGCTAGCGATTAACCACCTGAGCTACAGAATGGGAAATATGTATTGTGTAACCCAATTTAATAACGTCAGGGTGCTTTTCTTTAATATTATGTGAGTAACAAAATGAATATTACAGAAAAGTGGCAACATTCTTTTTCGTAAAATATTTCTCAGTGAAGTGAAAGTGGATCATAAACTTCACATATAACAAATTACACTTCGACGTGGAAAATTCAGATGTGCTGTCTGATGTATCTTCATTAAATCACATTTATCTTTCACTTTCAAAATTAAAGAAAATTCGCGATTTTATAATGAAATGCTTTACTTTGTCCTAGCCCTTTAATGTGTAAACGGTAAAGAACATTTAATGGCCTACTCCTGCAGTGCTTAATGTAATTTCATTCCACTTTGAACTGCTTGATTTGAATTGGACTTATTGGCGTAATGCGCATGAATGGGTTTCAGGTAGAATTTCTGAGTGAAGGAGCAGTTAGCAGGGCACGTGATCCTTTCCATTTCAATTTTTGCTTCCTTCTCACATTATAAAGTCTAAAATCGTTTATCAATGCGTTTAGCGACTCCTAGTTTCCCTGCAGATTGTGCGGACAACTGTATAAAAGAGTTAATTTAGTGAATGAAAGACTGGGGCCTTTGTTATACCCCTACTGCGGTCCAATTTGTCAGAGCGCAAATAGGGAAATCTTCTGTATCTGTTAGTGACTGCAAATGTATATTAGATTAGCACGTAACTTGACATGTAAATTGAGTCTCCAAGAAATCAGCGTAACAAACAATAGTGAAAATGGAATATAATTTTGAAAGTTAGAATATCTATGAAATTACCAGTCTATACCATACATATAAGAGTAGATACTTGATAAAACCGTTCCTTACGTCTGTCATTCTTAACTTTATGTCCTGCAACAAAAGAAGCAGCACAAGCTATCCAGCTCACTTCTAGAATAACTCGAAGGTTCACGTTCCAAAACGTAGGGTTTCTCTTCCACAGATTTTCACATATCACGTCGAATAAAATGTTTCGTTGTATAAACAAGTTTCTTTTTAATAATATCTAAAATTTCGTAGCTATGGTAAAAAGTAATAAAAAATAAAGATATCCCTGTAGCAGGCCTTGGAGGCCCATAGGGTTGTGAAATGTTGAGGTTCCAACATTTTCTAGACACTCGTCTCATAGATGGCCGTAAGTTTGTCAGCCCTAGCCGCCGGCCGCTCTTTACCCCCAAGAATATTCCAAGAATATTCCTGGTACTCATTTCTGTTAGATGCTGAATCGACCCCAGGGCCACAGTGCGGCTGGAAGGATCAGGTAAATTGAAAAAAATTCAATGACCTCATCTGGATTCGATCCCACGACCTTCCGGCTTGTAGCATAGTGCCTCAACCAACTACGCTACCGCGTCCCCCCCCCGTGGCGATGGTACATTAGCATACATATTATGCTTCTGGACATTGTCCATCCTTTTTTTTAAAAAAACACCGCCCTAATTATATTTCTCTTTCCGGAGAGAGAGTCTAGTTCTATCGACTGGGCCCAACGTGGAAATTTTTACCTGAAGACGGAGATAGAATACAGTCTCCGAAACTTTGTGTTTTGAAATATAAGGAGGACGGAGTTTAGATAAAACATGACTATGGATACTGTCCAGAAAGATAATATTTGATATTTTTAATAATTTTCTCTTCATAGGGAAGATACACGAAAAGGCAATTGGAAGTACTTCACGAAAATAATATTCTTCTGGGATTTGACGCCATTTCGTCTAGTAGAATTTCACATAATTCTGTTGGTGGTTCAGTACTCTGAAATATCTCTGAACTCCTATCAGACTGCAAGACGTCACATCTCACAATGTAGCTCAAAATGGGAAGCTATGTAAAGATATTCATAAATCTTTTTTAATATTATGATCGGTACAACTCATGGAACTCGGGATAAATTTCCCTACATCCGTTCTGGGTTTTCATGAATAGATTCCAAACACCTTCCTTCGCTTCTTTATGAAAATATCATCGTACACAATCAAATTTTCCTTCGATAATTTTTCAAAGTTCTCATTGGATACTTTCGGTTCTCAAAAGTAAAAATATAGTATGAAAATCAAGCTAAAATACCAGCAATAAGAGCAGTATTAATTTCAATAAAACTTAAAATAGTAATAGTAGTACTAAAATTAATGATAATTATATTGATAATAAAGAAATATAAGAACAGGAAATACAAAATAAACCAAACTCCGCGGCCTGTAGTCCGCAAGCGAACTATACCGACCGAGCGACAGCCGCTTGTCGGTGAAGTTAATGCAAACTTAAGCCGACAGTGAGTGTCACGTGGTCAGCGTAACGGATCCCCCACGGCCGTTAATCTCGGTTTTCTATACCGCAGCCGCTATTTCCTAAAATAGCTCCTCAATTATTCTCACGAGGGTCCAGACACACTACTTCTCAGAAAATTTGATAGCGCCGGGAATCGAACCCGGACGTCTGGATCTGTAAGCAGGAACTCTGACCACTAGACCACAGAGGCAGTACAAAGAATGACACCGGTCGCTTAATTTTACATAAGAAATTTTTCGGTTCTGCACAGAGATACTGGGTTTTCGGACTTTGTCCATCGTCCGGATTCTCAATAACTAGAAAAAAACGCGTTTCGGAAACTGGATCTGTTTCCGTCCTCAGGTGAGGGAAGACACCTACTCTGTTGGGTCCGAAACGTGTTTTTTCTTAGTTATTTAGAATCCGGATGATGGACAAAGTCCGAAAACCCAGTATCTCTGTGTGTTACACACCATCGTCAGAATCCTATAATATCCAATTTTCGGTTCTCGTTCAAAATTAAAGCCTGTAAAGTAAATTCCAGTAGGTGTATGTTCCTTCCTTAGCTCCACGATATAACGTAGGGCGAGACCAAGAGCTGTGTATACAAAGCTCCATGAAGCGCGGTTCTTCCTGTGATATTAATAGTTCTCTCATATGATGAAGATATTTCTTGCCGTTCATGGAAACGGGAGACTCATTTCCGTGATCATAGCAACTTTCCACTGGATCTGAACTTTTATCTAAATAAACACAGACCATATTCTAATTCTTTCAGATCGATTTTAATATCATCCTCCACTCCTGCACCCCAGAATGTAAATTGAAATGGAACCAATATATTTTAAAGCATTAAAATATCGCCTTCGCATCTACTATTATATCTCTAGAATGGTTACTTTTTTTTCAGATACCCCACTAAATTTCTGTGTGCAGTTCTCATGTCTCACACACATGCAACAGACACCCATACTTCCGCCTAATTTCCCCTTCATTTGGTCTCCAAAATAATATTTTGTAAAGAGCACAAATTAAGAATTTGAGGCTTTCACGGCCGTG